CCTCAAAACCCCAAAACCCCAAAACCCCAAAACCCCAAAACCCCTGAAACCGAAATTAAAATTGTTTCTTAGATAATAAAATTTATTTAAAATTTGGGACCTAATGGATCACTACAAGAAATTCAGGTTTAGTCTCATTGGACTGGAACTGCCCAAGAAGGTAGACAAGAGTCAGATCATATTTGACTTCTACAATGGAGAAAAACACCTCAAATCTTATTACATGAGAGAAGGCAAGGTAAACTATGATTTAGAGTACTCCCCAGATCTTCAGTATATCAAAGTCGTCACAAGAACTGTTAATGAAGGGGAGGTTATCGGAACTATTCTACTCACCTTATCGTTTATTGCAGAATGGGACCTTGAAGGAAAGAATGAGCAGTGGCTCCCTCTGTCTAATGAGGGTAACTCAGATTTTTATGCCCAAGATTTCAATGCCTATAAGATGAATCCTCCATGTTTGATGATCAGATTCCAAAGAATCTATACACCTCCTCCTTCTCCAGAGAGAGTCGTTCATGATGATTTGTCGATAGAGAAGGATTATGTCAGAGAACCATATGGGTATGATGACCAACCTATGCAAGAGCCTGATGATTACGATTATGATGAACCAGAGCCTGTTGAAGACGAGCCAGAGGAATATTTCCAAGAACCCCAAGATTATGCTCCTGAATCGCAAGACTATGTTCCTGCATCCCAAGAATATGTCCAGGAGCCTCAAGAATCAATCCCTGTGGTAGAATCAGAGCCTGAGGAAACCAAGCAGCCAGATTTTGATATACAAAAACCTATCATTCCTTATGAGCCAGAAAAAGTTATTCAAGAGCCAGTGATTGTGAGAGAGCCAGAGCCGGTTAAGAAATCTCCAAGGAGAGTAGAGAAACCAATTGTAGAAGAGAAGAAGGAGACTCCTCCTAGGCCTCCCCCAAAGAAGGCTTCACTCAGAAGAAAAGATGTAAACTCAAATCTCCCTTTACAAGTTGCTCATCAGAGAGCAGTAATGTAAGTATCTTAATTTAATCTGATATAGTAAGAAAGAATATAACACCAGAAGTGAGCTTTCAAGATATGATAAGGTCTTCCTCAGTGATGCCTATGTCTACTCCTCAAACTACTACATTCCTGAAGACAGAGACCACTTGAGAAGGAAGCTAGACAATCTGGTTGAAGATGTACAGGAGAAGCACGAAGAGATCTTACAAGAAAATGAGGAATGATTTAGACTTTTGGATTGGATAAACCAAATGAACAAGCAACCACTCGCTTATGAGTCAGTTGATCAAGAAGGCATTTCACATAGCCAAAGAGTTCTTAGTGAGATAAAAGAACTCAAAGGAGACAACAATTCACTCACAGGGCAGCTAGATAATTCTAAAATAGCCTTAGAGAAAGCAAGAGAATTAAATAAAGATCTCAGAGTCAAACTAGAAGGCTTTTCTCACGGAAATTACGGAGACTTTGCCCTCCCAAAAGATTCTGGTAACATTTAACGATAAACTTTTAGAGCTCCAAAGATTGAAGGCTCAGAATAAGGATAATGAGAAGGAAATTGATATACTAAACCAGAAAGCTAATAAAAAGATTACTGACTACTTATCCTCCCTAGAAGACCCAGCAGAAATAGAGAGACTTGCAAAATCTTTCCAAGGAATGACAGATCAATACAGAGACTCTATCAACAAAATCAATGATGATAAAGATGCTCTAGTAGGCCAGCTTGGAGAAGCCAGTGATGAGTATGCTGAACTTGTAAAGAACAACTACCGCCAACAGAAGAAGAAAATGGAGATGCAGAATGAGATTGAGACCTTACAGAACCTCATTGCAAATAACTGCCAGCTCAAAGACGACACTGAAAAGCTTGATGGAGAATACACCCGTATCATGGGTGACAAGAACAAAGGAATTGGTGCTAAGATCAGAAACAAGGATGAAGAATTCAACAGACTTGAAAGAGAATATGGTAACTACTTCTAATAATCTCTAGATCAACTTAAAACAGAATATGAGAACAATATGGAAAAAGCTGATGAGATTGGGAAAAGCTTCAACCAGAACGAGCAGGGCGAACAATATGAACAGCTAGTCGGCATGCTCGAGAGACTTGAAGAATCTCATGAACAAAGAGTCGAAGCAGGAATTGATAAGGATGATCCAAGACTCCTAAATAAAAAGAATGAGGAGACTCTTATTCAAATCGAAGAGTCCTTAGGAATGCACACACAAACTGAAGGAGATAGACAGATTGAAGATCTACTGAGACAAATTCAGAAAGCCGAGAATGATATTATTGATCTTAATGATCTTAAGAATAGAGCTGAGAAAACCAAGAAGTACAGAGAGAAGAAGGGTATCCTCTGAGATGGACTCAAGAACGATATCGAAGAGCTTAAGAAGAAGATTGCAAATTTGCGAGCTGAAATAGACTCAATGTTATCCAATTCCAATACTTTCGAGAGTGATAAAGCTAAGAGGGAGCAAAGAATTTCTGATCAAGAAGCCATCCTCAAACAATTGGAAATTGAAATAAGACTTCTCAAGCAGAAACTTAAGGAGCTTGAAGGACTCAGCATTGAAGGATTCACAGATGCAGAGATCCTAGACTTGAGAGAGATTCTCGACAAGATCAACAAAGATCTCGGTATGTTCTCCCTATTAATATTTAGAGGCACTGAAAAGAAGGCAGAGAAAACAGGATGAGCAATATGCCGTTCGTAAGAGTGAGCTCTTAGAGAAAGAAAGATACATTGAAGAGCTTAAAAAACAGCTAAGCGAGTACACAGTTACTGAGGTTACTGAGGAATATGAGAATATTAATATCGACATTGTCGATGATATTGATAGAATGATGCTTGATTTTGTCAAGAAGTACAACTGTCACGTTCCCATCACTAGAATGGGAGGTGGATACTACCTTTTTGGTACAAGAAAAATCTATGCCAAGATTCTTAACGGAAAGTTGGTAATTAGAGTTGGAGGAGGATACATGATTATCACTGAGTTCTTAGATCAATATTCTGAAGTTGAACTAAAGAAAATCGAGAGATTAATGGAGAAAGAAGGTGTTGAGAAATATGAAGATCTCAAGATTGTTAAGAAACATCTAGAACCACTCTGGGAAGAGAAGAACAGATCAATGAAGAACAGAAAGAGTCCAGGCAGCTCATCAAGAAGAAAAGGAAAATAAAATTATTTCAATCTACTAAGATTTAATCGGGGTTTTGGGGTTTTGGGGTTTTGGGGTTTTGGGG